TATAATACTTTTAAAAAATAAATAATCAAATACCAAAATAACTTTCAGTTATAATTACAGCACAATATAGCTACAACTAAGTATAATCACAGTCACAGTCACAGCAATTCCAAACACACCTTTAATTTATCTCTTAAGTTTTTTTTTAAATAATATAAATAAATACATAAAGTGTCTATAAATATTTAATTTAAAGAAAAAGTCAAAAAATAACCGTCACTATGAAACCTTGAGAATGTAATATAAGCATGCGTAATCACTAACGGCATTCCATCACTTCTATAATCTTAATGTCATTATTTTTTTTTTTATATTTACTGTTAAGTTATCATTAGGTCAACTTCTGCACATTTTGATAATAATTTTTTCTCAGTGATTTTAAGGTGCACCCCCTTGTATTAATCTAATTATTTAAAAAAATTAATTTTTAAAATCTGACCTCAAAACTATACCTAAACCTAAACATATCATTTACTTAAAAGTAAATTCAAAGCGTTCGGATGTCATTATCTTTCATCCCTATCATCAGATTATTGTCTTCTACATCGAACATAACATATAACAAAATTGTCAATTGAATGAATTCAACAAATGTCAATCGAATTTTACCAAAAGAAATTGTCAATTGAATAATTTACCAAAAAAATTTGAATTGAACTGATGCTTTATTATTATGATATCTAACCAACAAAAGTTTGGTCTAATTTAAAAGTTTTATTTTGAGATAAAGATAAAAATTCAAAATTTTACAACGGTCAAACAATTATTAATGTAAAAAAAAAAGGATATGCGAGAAGGAAATTAGAAAAGGAGATAATTTTTTAATGTTTAATAATGACTTGTATAAAAAAAAAAAAAGAAATGCAAATTTTTTTAAGGTCTTATAATTTTTTTATATTAAATTGTATAACAAAAAATAATTTTTTTTCATTCTTAAATTTACTTTATATGCATGCTTGCAACTCATATTTAAAACATTTTATTTATATATAAAAAAAATAATACTGGATTGTTTAGGATGTTGAGAAAGTTATATACTTTTGAGAGTTGGTTTCTCAATTATGTGATACTATAAATCAACTTGCATAGACCAAATTAAATCAATTTCTTCTCAATAATATTTGTCATTTTATTTCAATAAATTTTAAAAAGTATCATTATTACAACCTGTCTCCCATTAAATTTTTCGTATTTGTCAAATATAAGAATGCTTGAAATTTTCATCATTTTTTTTTTAATCTCGATTAGCACTCAACGAAACTTGTAGTAGTCATCTTTGGAGACACTCAATTCATTAATTGATTTGGCTGAGAACAAAAACACCCCAAATTGATCATGGCATGAAAAATTTGGCTCAAAAGAGTTAAAGAAGGATGTGGTTAAAAAAGACGGTGGGGAGTACAAGTTTGGTGGTTTTTTTTTTCATCATTTGGACGGTAATGAACTTAGGAAGCTTTTAGGCTAGCCAATTTATATGTACTTTATTACAAAAAAAAAACTTGATATGTACTTTAAAATTAATTTTTTTATGTATAATATACTTACATTTACTTCGCACCTACTCAAAAAATTTAATTTTTTAATAAAAATTTTAAATTTTATATTTAATTTATAAAATAAAATTTGTATACCAAATTTTGGTGTCTTCTTCGCAGACAAGAGACTATTAATTAGTCTAAAGCTGATTAAGAAAGGCCACCTTACAAGTGGCCTGTTTCTTGAAAAAGTTTCCAATAAAGAAATGTGCATTTTTCCCTCGAGGAAGCTTTGTCACATCCACCTCAACTCGTTGGATGAATAGCTGGAAACCCCTCCAAATGTACCTAACACCGTTTTTTTTCCTCCCCTTTATATTCCCTTTTTCAACACCACCTCCTCCAGCTGGTACCACCCCCCAATTCACCTTTGCCTCTCTTTTTTAATCTTATAGATAAAAGGTCCAGCTTTATAAAATCTCAAACACATTTCAATTCTTTCTGTCTCTCTCTCATCAACAGCAGCACCCTCTCTCTCTCTCTAAATTCCTCTTGGGAAGGTCAGTCTCCTTGGTTTCTTTTCTCTCGTGGGTTTGTTGCACATTGTGTTCATTTTGTTATGCTGCCTTTTACTAAGAATTTACTGCATTTTGTGTAAATGTGTCTAACTTGTTCCTGCTAGATGCTGTTCTTTCTTGATGAATTGATCTAGATCTGCTTTCTTGCTCCTTCCGGATGCACATTGTGTAGTTCTGTGTTCTCTAAGAATCTTCTACTTTGAACTGTAAAATACAGAGAGAAATTGTAATGCACTCTAGAGTTAGGTTCTGATCTGGGTTTTGCCACCGGAGTCTAGTCATCTAGGGATTTAGCAGGTTTTGCAACGGTCTAAGAGAGCAGAAGAGAAAGAAATAGTTCATCTTTCTTCCTGAAGTGTTTATATTTTCTTAATAGCCACATTTTCAGTGTCATTTACAGTTGCATTTAGTACCGAATTGCCTGAGATCTATGTTCTAAACCTTGGTGTTCTTACATCTATTGTTTATTATTTTGTTGAATGTTCTAATCAAGATCTGTCTTTTTCATTATTTATATATTTAGGTTGTTTTTGTCCTTCACAAAGGTGACTTGGGTTTTCTGCAAAATGAATTATTATTTAAATGAGAACCTTTTTTTTATGTGGAAAATAGGGAGTTCCAAGATTCCGATCTGAACTGTCTAATGTTTTCTCCATTTTTTGGGAATTAACTGGTTTCTGTTCATATTGCAATTTTTTTTGGCTAAACTGTGAGAGAGAATTATTCAAGGGGGATCTTTTCTTGTAGGAATTTGGAAATCATTTGAGCTGTTATGGCAAAAATGGAGTCCTCCATGATTTTTGTGATTACTTGTTCTGTATTGCTCATGTGTTCTTCCTCGGCACTAGCTCAAACTGCTAGTCCTCCCTCACTAAGCCCAACTCCAGCACCAGCACCGGCACCTGCTCATGTAAACCTTACTTATTTACTCTCCGTAGCTGGCCCTTTTTCTACCTTTCTGAATGACCTTATATCAACCAAAGTCATTGACACATTTCAAAACCAAGCCAACAACACTGAACAAGGCATCACCATCTTTGTACCCAAAGATGATGCATTCAACGCTGCCAAGAAATATTTATCCAATGTCACTTCAGATCAGCTCAAATCCATCCTCCTCTTCCATGCCCTGCCACGGTTCTATTCCCTAGCTGACTTCAGGAACCTTAGCCAGAAAGGACCCACTAACACATTTGCCGGTGGGCAGTACACGTTGAACTTCACTGATGTTTCAGGGACAGTTCACCTTGATTCAGGATGGAGCAAAACTAAGGTCAGCAGTGCTGTGTTCTCAACTAGCCCTGTTGCGGTATATCAAGTGGACAAAGTCCTCCTTCCTGAGGCAATCTTTGGCACTGATATACCTCCAACTCCTGCTCCAGCCCCGGCGCCTGATGTTTCTCCTGCAGATACTCCATCAAAATCAAAAGATGGTGCCGAATCTTCTCCAGTATCTTCACCTACAAATTCTTCACACAGGATTATGGACTTAGGTATATGGAAGCAGCTGGTTTTGGCAATCACAGCTGGGCTAATCTTGTTCTTGTGAGAAAGAACTCTGTTTGAGTTCTTAATTTATGCTCTCTCAGGGGCATTTCAAGTTACTTCAATTTTAAAACCATTTTTTCATTACATAAGTTTATTGAGATTATGTGTTGAGATTTGAGAATGTGAGATATTATGCTATGATTATTATTTCAATTTAAATGGCCATTTGCTTGATGATCTATGTTTTATACTGAATATTAGATACGTGCAATTGTGTTTTCGTGAAAACTTATTTAGCATTACTTTTGCTTGTTCTTGGGGTTTTCAACTTTTCATTAATCCAAATTTCAAAGGAAAAGGACAGGAAAATAGATTGTGATAAGCACCAATAAGCAATGTCATATTCCAAAATCCAAAACTGGTAAAAATTGATGGAGAAGTAAGCTGCTCCTTCCCTCTTCTTGTAATGAAAAGAATGGTTACTGCTCTTTTGTCCATATGATGGTGGTTACTCTTCCTTTTCTCAAACAAATCCTCGTTGGTCCTATAACTTGAAAAAATATTGATAATAAATCATTGTAAAAAAAAATTAATAGAAAAACATAATATTTTGGTGCATCTATGCCGAGCATAACCATACAACAAGGGATCTTTCTTCAACAATTTTAAGATTCAAATTATTGGCTTCTAACTTAACATCTCAAATTCTTTTTAGTTGAGAATTCCTAAAAATTGAAGAGGTTGTTTGGTGAATATTATTTGTACACTAGAGTGAATTAAAAGGAAAAGTAGTAAAGAGATGCGTGAAAAAGAATTAAAATTTGGAAAACTAAAAAGATAATAATAATAAAAGAGGAGGAAATCCAAATTGGCAAGCAAGGTTCCAAGCACAGCATTTGCTGCAAATTTGCGATTTGTCAACTGGACTATACAAAAAGAAAAGAGAATTAGTAAAAACTAAACTTTTTTTTTCTTTTACGAAATAGAGATTACATTGAAATTAATGAAATTGAGATTGCCTATGAATTCTTATATTATAATATGTATAGTTAAAGTAAAATGTATCTTTTTGCCTTAGATACAGACTTAAAATTATATCTCTAATGATTATAGACAATTAAGTATAGGAATTATATTAGCAATAAACAAAGTTATTATTAATAAACAAAGTTATTTAAAACGACACTACAAGAAAATGGATATTTGTTATGGTAGAATTGATAATAAAAATTTAAATTTTAAACACAAATTTAATTTGTAATAAAAAATATGAATTTTTATAATTAATTTTCTATCACAAAATAACTACTTTCTTGTAGTGAGAAAATCATTGTAAACGTTTAAAATTATTAGATATTCTTAATTACTATCCCAGCTTATTGAGAGGGCGAGTATTTGAACTACAAACAATTCTATCCACTAATAGCTTCACCTATTCATAGAAATACTATCAAAAAGAGAGGTTAGTATCTCCACCATATACTAGTTTGAGCCATCTCCTCTTCGTTACTGATTGAAACCATCTTAATCTTTTGAGTTATTGCTCGAGAGAAGTCCAAGCCGCAACCAACTTATGCCTTGGGATCCAGTTACAAGAGAAACAACAGGAAATAAGAAAAAGGAAGCTTCACAAGAAAAGTGGAGCTGAAATGTTCGAATCCCCGCTCAAAGTTTGACGGTAACCAAAACCCCCCACCCCCATCCCAAAAAAAATTTAACGATGTTAATCAACATCAGCAAATCGTTAACGGTAGTCTGAGGTGAACTTTTTAAACAGGTTAGATCCATTTTTTATGATTTGATCGCTAACATGGTCCCATTTCACCCATTTTAATCTTACATGGCATTTTCTCTCTTTTTTTTCTCTCTTTTTTTTTTCCTTCTCCACGTCAACTGGGCCGTTAAGATTTCCAAATACTCAATTTAATTAAAGAGGTAATTGTTTAAAGGCTTAATTACAGTACTAATTAAAGGAATTAAACTAATAAAAATAATTTTCTATTTTTGTTCTTTGATTCCAGTCTTCTTCTCCAGTGTGGATCACTTATTTGTCCAGTGCCATTCAAGTGCATTAAGATTAATCCATGAATCCAACGCAACTCCGAATCAAGCAAATTCAAACAAGAAACATAGAATTCGGCCAACAATTACTGGCGAAGTTGTGTTCATTGATCCAAAGGATATGTATAGCACTGAATTTGGATGCTTAGTGTCTAGCCATTTTCGACATGTTTCCGGCGAGATTCCTCCTTTTCCAGCCCATGCTCTGTTTTACGTGGATAATAAAATCGGTCCAATGGTCCACACAGGCCGGTTAAGCTTTCGCCAGAAATACGACATTCCAATCCGGTCGAATTCCTCCACTGTATTGAACAAAATCCAGCCGGATTTCACCCGTTCAGGCAACTTCTTCCCCTGGAAAACCAACCATAGATCGGTCCTGTCAGCCTTCAACATGCTGAGAGGCAACTAAGTTACGAACCCATGAGAAAGAAAATCAAAATTTCCACCCCCATCAAATCTCTGTTTCATCTTCCTCCTCTCAATCTTCTCGTTTTCATCTTGTCCATCTTGTTCATAACTCTGCACCATCAATTTCTTCCAACTCCTCAAATTATTCCATTTCTCCTCCCAAACAAATCTAAACAAAAACCTACCAAAAAATTTCGGGTACCACCACACAAGGAGGAAGACAAAACAGAGAATGGATCTTCTGCTACAGGGCACAACCTTGGTGGAGGAGAAAGCGAAGATGCTTGGGCACACGCATCAAGCTGCAAGAACCCAAATTTGGGTTCTGAGGTTATCCATCAGAGCGAGAAACCCAGATCTCGCCAGCGATTAGGGTGCGTTTGATGCGTTTGCAATTACATTTCGGAACCCTTTTTATTTTATTTTATTTTAATATTCGTAAAGTGTTTATATATATATTTGATAATTTTTTAAAATTATTTTTTTAAATTGTAAAAAGTTATAATAGGTTTACAGTAATATTATATGTAAAACTAAAAATTTTATTTTAATTTTGTTTATAATTTTTATAAAAATAATTAATATTTAATATAATTACAATTATAATTACTATCACAACATTTTACAATAATCCTAAATGTAAACTCAAGAATCTAACGGAGGAGGATAAGGGAGAACCAAGGGTTACAACAGAATTGTAACGTACAGATGACACATCCGTTCGTTGTTTATTGGGAAAACCTCCTATTTACTACCTATATATTATTTTTTTATGGTTAATATTTTCAAAGAACAAAATTTTTTTAATCAACATCTTTCTTAATTTAAAATTTATAAAAACAAACTTAAAAATTAACCATTAAACTACTTATTTACACCTTAACTTTATTAGTAATTTAGAGTTTTTCTTTGAATTTCAAATTATAGAAGGTATTTACCATGAAAAAAAATAATCCGTAGATATAAATAGAGGATTTGACTTTATTTATTTAAGCTGAAAAGATAGGGATTAAAACTTCATGTTGTAAGTTAAGCAGGTAAAACTTTCATAATTAGTAAGGTGGAGGGCTAGTCACGAATTTTCGCCTAAGACTTTTGGGGAAGAAAAAGCTTTAAGGGCAATTCTGTAATTATATTTTTATATTAAATTTTTATAATAAATATAAAAAGTAGGAGAAAGTATCGCGTATCTAAAATGAGCAGAAATGGGACCAAGGGTCCATCCAAAACAAAAAACAGGCCTCCTAAACGGCCGGCATGTTAAAAATGTCCGGCACAAGAAAACCTCAAGCGAATTTGTTTAATTCAAAAATTTTATAGGTGTATTTGCCACCTGTTTTTGTTCAGTTATAGATTCATCTTTACTGTTTAACTTTAAAAATGAATTAAAATATTCTGTGAAAAGTAGAGACCCAAAAGGAGGGTTGTTGCATGGTTTGCACAAGAAAGAGTAAAGG